AGTTAAACTGCAGGAATGTCTTAAAGACATAAAGACCTGTATGGCCGCTAACTTTCTGCTTCTAAAGTGAGATAAAACTAAAATGATTGTAGTTCACCTTAAAAATCTTATAAACAGGGTGTCTAACCAGACTGTGAGGAAAGTTGTTCTTGACTAATAAATGTCCCTAAATATGCATATTAAACAAATATTTGCTTTCTTCCATTTGCGCATTATCTCTTAAATTCTATCTCAGTGATTAAAAAGGAAAGAAGAACAACAACATACATTATTATCAGGTTGTCCTAAAAACTGTGAAAAGCCTGTAGTTGTATCCAAAATGTTGCAGCGCAGAGAGAGCCAACACCAAGTGAGAGCACCTCCCTTTTTCAGAGAGTGGTTGTTGTTTGGGGTGGCTTTACGTCAGGAGTTAGAGGCAGTCATCTACTAGTTAGAATGCTGGTGGTTTGATTCCTGGCTGCCCCAATCTGCATGTCAAATATCCTTGGACAAGATACTAACCCCAAGCTGCTCTACAGTGCATCCATTAGAGCGGTGGTTCCCAAAGTCTGGGAGCACAGCCATTGCAAGGGCGGCGTGGTATGAACAAAAAAAAGAATGCTTGGGCATTGCTTGCATAAGAGACGGGGCAAAGCGGAAGATGAAGCATCGCCAAATACACTTCCAAACCAACTTCTTTCCAAGCCAAACACTGGAAAATATGATGAAGGATATCTTGCTTTTGGCTTCACCTGCACAACGTTGGTGCCACGGTAGGTATCCCTGGCAGAATTTGTTTCCCCTGCGTCGGGAGCACACGCTGGGCTGTCCACATCATGGACCAACAGATTCCAACAGTTGTTTTGCACAGAGAGGCATTTTTTGAAAAATATCTATTGCATCAATTGATAGCAGTGTTGAATGTTAGTACACGGTAAAAAAAAACCAACCACATGCAAAATAATGACACCATAAAGATGGTTTGTTTTTCTGTTATTTAAAAGAGGTAGTAGTTTATTTTACTCCAACCTGTAATTTGTTGCAGTTTACTTTTATTAGTTTCATTGTTTACAAAAGGTGTGAGGTGTGAAATAAACTGCAGTGGGATTTTCTTGTAAAACAAAGAGGGGCCTAGCAAAAACCGTTTGGGAACCACTGCAATAGAGGATAAATGTTAGATAGTAAGCACTTGTGAAAAAAGTGCTTGGGTTAAAGAGGCAAGTTGTATGAAGGGCCTTGATTTCTCAGGGAGCAGATTCCTCTGCTTCCATGGCTGTTCCCAGGACCCAGACTCAGTGCTGGAAATTATAATTATCTGCTCTTTACCTTTCTTCCTTGTCCTCCTGCTGCTGTCCATCCACAGAGCTCTCTGTCATGTGATCAGCACTTCTGTTGTCATCAAGTTCTTCCTCCACATTGCTACCCACTGGGCATCCCAAAGGCCAGCGCAGCTCCCCACTCTCCTGTTCACTGTGGTCTGTGGGCTCCACAACAATAGAGGGAAGACGCTCCCTCCTATAAACAAAGTCTTCGGGATAATCTGACTCTTCATTCATGTTGGCTTCAGGGAAGATCTGGTCAGGGAACAAATTCATAATGCTCTTAAAAAATGTAAATTGAAAATAAGGAACTGTAAGGACTGAAAGTCATGTGCTCATAAACAATACAATCTTATTTCAGTAGATGACGTTCTCAGCCTCCTTAGTTTTTTCAGGTACTGAAATAAATGCCAACTGGTTACAAATTAACAGAATTATTATTATTATTATTATTATTATTATTATAAAAAGGAATGAATTGAAAACCACAGTGAAGATGCTACTCAGACAAGCTCTGCAGCATCAATTACACGGCTGATATTCTGAAAAGTTGAAATTTTGAAACAAAATAAAGAGAGGAACAGACCTAAATGACTTTGAAGAAGGTTTCATTACATGTGATAGCAATATCAGTGAGCGACTGCTCAACGTGTGTTTCATCAGGCACAGTGACATAAATGGCTGTAACTGTTAAATGGTTTACTTTTGTTAAACCCACTGAATTAAAATGAAAGTCTGGGCTTTAATCACATCTCATGTGGTGGTGTTAACTGTAAAAACTGTCATTAGATCGGGCCTAAAATGTTCCTCTTTGGCAAAGTATATAGTTAGGGCTGGATCAGGTGAGTCCTGAGTCCTGCAATAAGCTGCTGTTTCTTCTCCACTCATGTGTTCATACACCACTCTGCATTTAACCATTAATTATTATTAATCTGCTCTTTTCAACAGGGTGTCCTTTGTCCCATCTTCCTCCCCTCACTCCCAGCCAGTTGAGGCAGTTAGCCGCCCCTCCCTGAGCCTGGTTGTGCAGGAGGTTTCTTCTTGTTACGAGGGAGTTTTTCCTTCCCACTGTTGCCAAAGTGCTTGTTTACAGCGGTTCATATGATTGTTGGGATTTTCTCTGCTTGTGCTTGTGTTGAATGTTAATGTGCCTTAACCTCCTAAGACCCGAACTCTTCCACAGCATGCATTTTTTTTTTGAAAATATTTTTATTGAAAAAAGAAAACAACAGCACTTGCAGTTACCGAAATACAATCAACCTTTCTTCATTTTCCTAAGTAAATATACATATATAAATATATGTATATCT